AATAAGGGGGGTGGAAACATTTACACGTGGAAAATGAAAAAAGAAAAAAAAAATATCCATCGTCAGCACCCACCTCGATCTCCGTTCAATTACAGCGCACACGGCCGCACATAACACGCAAACTTCTCGCGGGTCGTGAAGATGGGTATCTCCTCTCTTTCTCCTTAAGACGGGGGGAGGGAAGGAAGACACCACTCGAGTAAATTGAACTTTGCGTCGAATCGTTTAGCGGGTATTATTAAGCAGCCTGTCAGTCCCACGCGGCTCTCGTTCACCCAATTATTGCACCTACTTTTTGACCCGCGCCATAGACGACACTCGGGTATACATATATAATATTGTACGAGCGAGGGTGGTTCTAAGACGTTACCCGGGGGAGGGGGAAGGAAAAGCTGGAGGAGCGGACCATCGCGTCGATCCCGCGGTGGGCGAATACGATTGTACTAGCTCTGCGGGACGAGTTTGCCAACTATACTCTCTCCTCCCACGCTATAACTGATTTCTCGATCTCTTCTTTTATATACATGTTGTATCTTCTTTTTTCTTTTATATCCGCATGAATTCCGAGTTGATTGTACCTATTGATGGTGAAAAGAAAAAGAAAAAATCTATATACATGAATGTTTTTTAATTTAACAGAACTCATCACGCGTACACGATGACAGTTGCCAACAATGATAGAGCTTTTACCGTAAGAACCATCGTATGCACAGTAGTTGACGGAAGTCCTTTATAGGCACCATACACACATACGTATAGGACCGAAGTAAATAAGCAAGTATGTATGTATATATATATACACGTCTACTCGGATGGAGAAAAATAAAAGCATATGGACTAAATGAAGAAGAAGAAGGAAAAAGACCTCATAGGGGCAGGGGTGGAGTGTTGCCCCTTTTCGAGATAGAGGGAAGAGGGGGGGGGAAGAAAAAACCTTCATAACCGTGGAATGTGCGAAGGGGCGGGAGGGAAAAAAAAAAGGAAGAACGAGAGAATAGGGAAGGGTGAGTGCTTAATAATGGCGGTCTCGAGGCGTCGCCCCGCTATGCCGGTTATGCGGCATACCAGCATCATATACGCCTACGCGCCACCCTGCATATATATATATATACACCTTTGGCTCGTGTATTCTATATTCTCTCATCGGGCCATTGAGGCAAGTGAGCCGCGCGCGCAATCGAATGCTGATTGGAAAATATTGATGGCTCCCCTCCCTCTCTCTCTCGACTCTTTGCCGTTGAAATACTTTGGATGAATTGAATGACGCTCCGTGTATGGGGGTGTACCACGTGTTTATTGTACACGTATACGCGAGGTGAAACTACTACGTTACGTGTCATATATATAACAGTATAATGTATAGCCATAACCCATAGTCATACTTTGTAGTGGATATAAACTTTATTGTTAGTGTACATAACGTGTTCGCCCGACCACTGTTACTTTTGGCAGATTTTCATTCGATATTGCAACCCTTAAAGTATAATTAATTTTCATTTTGTTTTTTTGTTTTTACTTTGAAGAAAAAAGAACGAGCCGTATGGAGAACGATGAGCCAATCAGCGCACTGCGTGTGTGTTTTTGTAACCCACGCATAGAATTTAGGATTCCAAGTTTAATTACAAGTAGTAAAACCCGAGTACGGTCAGCCCCGCTCCTTCCCTTCAAACCGCACTATATACCCTTGCGGCCACGCGGGGACGTCCAAACGAGGGGCTGAAAGTGAAAGCGCGATAAAACGCAAAAGACACGCCATATGCGCAAATTACCTCGAGTCGCAATTTTACAAAAGCCTCCGTTTCAAGGCACCCCCCCCCCCCTCCCCCCGCGACGCGTCGTTGCTCGAGCACTTATACGCCAAGTTATGCGCGCACCGAGTGGCCGGTGGGAGAGGGAAAACCATCGCCTTGGGAATATTTTTGCGTACCGCGATGTGCCCAAGGACGAGGCTGAACAGCCGTCGTTATAATCATCCGGGAAAGCAGTGACCCACTGATCTTGCGCCAGTTGCGGACTGTATAGGTTACACACGGTCGAACGCTTTCGGGATTTTTTTTTTTTTTTTTTTTTTTTTTATACGAGTAAAACCGCGCCCAAGTGTGGATTAATGGGTTGTAGGTGTTCGGGTGGTGTAATTTTTTATTTTTTGGTTACAGATAAAAATGGCAAAAGGCAAGAAGAAGAAGCTCAAGGCCCTGGGGATCGGAAAACTGCCCGACGAGGAGGAGGAAGCGAAGAAGGTCCCAATTGATAATTTGCCGGATAATTACTTGTGGATGCACGTGAGTTTCGATTGTGAAAGGATGTTCGAGCAGTTGAGTGAATAATCTGGAAAAAATAAAATAAAACAAAACCAATGACAAACAGGTGAAGCACGGGACGAAAATTCGCAACGTACTGGAGTACGCGCTGAAGCACTTCCCGGAGCGCGGATCGATCGTGTGGTCCGGCGTGGGTAAGAGCATCAACAAGACGATGTCGTGCTCGCAGCTCTTCAAGAGCAAGCATTCGGGGCTGCACCAAGTGACGAGGATACAAGCCATCGAGTGAGTACAGACCATAGCGCGTCGCTTACGTTTTTCGTCGTTTACGTTTATTCATATTTTACAAGGGAAGTGGGGGTGTTACGAAAATATTATCTGGAACACTGGGCCCTCCTTTTTACTAATAATTAATTAATAATTTGCTCGTTGCGTTTGCACGTCCATTTCTTTTTTTTTTTCTTTTTTTTTTTCTTTTTTTTTTTTCGAGCTTAAAACTTCCTGCAGGTGTAGTATTTTTTTTTTATCTACAAGTAAATTTGCTCAGAGAAGAAACAAATAATGATAATAATAAATGTCCAGCAGTTACAATAATTTACAAAAGATTCAATTTGTTCGGAGCCAATTTTTCTGTATGACAATATTATATTCTGAAAGTAGCACTGTTTAACGAGGTCCCGATCAAATGGTTGTGTATAATAAAAAGGGGTAAATTTTCACAGCAAGAGCGTCAAGTCGACGAAACCGTCCGAGGGATCGGACGACAAAAAAATCAAAAATCACGTGCTGGAGATCCACATATTCCTGTCGAAGAGTCCGACGCACGCAGGCGAGCTAGGGTAACTAAAATTCTCATGGAAAAAAAAAAAAACATACAGTGACCCTCGACTTATCCCGATGCAGCTATCAAGGTCCGGAGGACGCCGGTGAGTTTGTCGATCCGGAGAACCCGGAAGAGCCGGCAAGAGCCAACAACCGGCCATCGACGCCGGCCGGCTCGAGCGGGAAGGTGACCAGTTTGGCGGCAGAGGAGTTCGCGGCGATGGGCTTGCGCACCGGGCAGAAGAGGACCCGCAGGGACCAGCAGAACGACACCCCCGTCGTTAAGAGGAACAGAAAAAAGGAGAATGCGAGCAACTGACGATAGAGGCTCGTGAGTTTTATAGGTTATGTATGTAAGTAAATAAATAAAACACTGCGTGTGTAGTTTTTGATGGAAATTCTTTTATTTTCCATCGGTAGTACACAGATAATTATGTATGTAGTCACGCGAGAAATTACACACGTTTTACATGTGATTATCCATTCAAAGTAATAAAGTCACGGGATATAATTTGGTAATTGTCGTTATTAGTATCCTTTTTTTTTGTCCACACCGTGAGTTTCACTTTGTTTTGAATAATTTTTTTTCGCGCGCAGTCGTTGTTACACCGCTCATCGATGCTTGTTGTTACATTATAATATTATATTTACATGGTTTTATGTACATTGTACACATTACTTTTGTTGCATGTAGCAAGTGATTTTTCAATCGTATCGCTGGTATTGTTATACGTATATATATATATTATACTTAATTTATCATAGCAGATATAATCGATTATGTTCTGAATTAGATTTTTTTTTTCTTCTTAACTTAACGCCAGCTGCACACGTAAGTTGTAGAGTCGACTTTAGTGAGTTAACGTTTGTTCAAACAGTCTTAATTTTATGTGGTGATAAATTTATTCGGTACAGTTGTATGGACAGCTCCGGGTTATTCTTGAGCTATTAAATATACATTTCTTAACTGATAAACCGAACAAACATAATTTTTCAAGGGCCAATCCAAAGGACCAAATTAAATATAAAAGATCAAATACACTTTTCTACTCTCTTTTTTATCCATTTTTTAGTTGTAATATGATTTTAAATTTTGGCAGTGATTTCATACATTTCTAACATTTCAAATTCTGTAAGTCACATGCTTTATCGACATTTTTTATCAAATATTATTGCATCGATACGAGATGAAAAAAAATTTTTGTATGAAAAAGTGTGAAATTGTATCGGATTAAAAAAAAAGTTAAAAGCTGTAAAAATTGCAGTATATCATTATTTATAAAACTGTCAACTGCTTACTTTGATTACATAAGGTATCTATTTTACACCTAATACAGAGTATGAATAAATACATTTGTCGTTTACAGTACTTTCTACAATTTTTAACTATACGACTGCTGCTGCTGCTGCTCTTGCCACGTATAATGACGCAAGTACAATTTGACGTGATAAAAAAAACAAAAGACTAATGTCAATAAATATAGAGAATTTAAACCTAAAGTAAAAAGGCAATGGCTGAAAAAAAAGGTGAAAATCATTGGTAACAAAAAAATCAGAAGTAGAAGAGAAAAAAAAAAGGAAAATGAAGGAGCAGACAATCAAGAAACAAAGACTAGCAGTAGCGTCAGCGCAACGACGAGTGATGGGGTAGCAAACCCATCGAAAAATCGAGGCTTTAAAGTTGGAGAATTGATATTGAGCCAATATTTTGGAAGTTTATGGCCTGCAGTACTTCATTAAAAAATTCTTACGTGAGCTGACTCGGTTAAACTAAGCCAAGTGTTGTTTACGTAAGTTAGAAACGGCTATTGAAAATATTAAAAATCACAATTTTAAATTAATGTTGTATTACATGAGATTGTTATAACAACTGAAGGGAAAATCAGGCATTTTTAACGGATTTGTTCAAAGAGACTAATTTTCAATAAATAATTGTAATATAGAGCTTATAATTAGTAATAATACATTTATATCCAAGTTCACGTTATATAGTAGGCATTATTTAGTAATTACAATAAACAATACATAAATAATTTCTTACACCTTAACGCTTCAAAACTTATTAATTTCATACCATTAGATTATGTAGAAAATTCTCACTCTTCAATTATGTTTCGTAAGTGCATTTTATAAATTGCTTGTAGTTTACTTTTTTAAATAAAATAAATTGAGTTTTGCAATGATTAATAAATTGAAGGGCAAATGATTTAACAAACAATATTTATCTCTTGTGGAACGATGAAACCAGTACTTGGCAGGCGTAATTAAAAAATGATGTCATTAATGGGTGGTCATTGCAAATAGCGTCAACAAACTTTAAATTAATCTCAAAGTGCATGAGTTATGAACAGTTGAATGTAACTATTGCCAAACAGTACATGAAAAGTTTCAAACTGCTGATAGTCATATCTTGCAATAATGATTTTTCATGTAGCATTAAAAATAAATACACTAGTACTCTAATCTTAACAATTAATATTTTATAAAAGGCCACAGAACAGTGACTGAGTATAAAAATTGAATGTGGCACTCAAAATTTAAATTGTATGATATTTTTACATTTACTTGATGAATTAAAAATAAATTACAACTAATTAAAACATAAATTTAAAGCGTGTAATCGCAGGACACATTGAAAAACATGTGTTTAAAAATTCCTGCGTTATGGTGCAGTATCTAAATGTCTCGGATGATTTTTTTTTTTTTTGGTAGTCATTTTCGCAATAAGTTTATAAACTTACAGTGAACCGCTGATAAACTTATTGAAAGTTGCACTATAATCCATGTATCCGTTTACGCAATTATGCTTCGTTTTCAGTGGTTCCTTCGCCTTCTATGATGGGCACTATTAAATTATCTCTTGACATCAAGCTGTATTTCATTACAAAGGCTGTGAATCTGCAAATATAACATTTAATAGTATTTTCATTGTATTTAACGAGAGAGAAAAAAAACTTATTTTATATATTTACCGGCGACACAAAAAAGTTTCATCCTCGAATTCATCAAATATCGTTCTGTGGTGATAATATGCGTGTGAAAATATTCTATAAACTCTTCTACAGACCGATCCAAGCTTAGCAACCGACGACTCCTTAATGCTCACTCTGTAATACATCCATCAAATACATAAGATACAAGTCAAACAAGTTGTCATTGTACTACCAATCGCAACAACTACCTGCTGGGAAAATATTTATAACTGTTCAACAAACACGCAGCACCATCCAACGTGTGTCTAGTGTAATCAATGGCTGGACACTCCTTTGGAGTCTTGTGTGCGGCGCACAAAAAAATCCACTGTTCTGTAGCTGTCATTTGCGAGCACGTCTCCGGATGGCACTCGTCCTGCAATCTCACTGCCAAGCCATTCAGCTCCATACAAAATTGCCTAAGATGCTCGTACTTCCAGACGCCCTCGTCCTGTGATTCTGGCATTGTTAAAATCAGATCGATGTTGGCCGGGTCTCTTCTGATGGTCTGTTGAATGTACTGCTGGACAACCAAAGTGCTGTCCATCTCTTCGAAAGGCTCATCTGGCCATCTGTTGAAGTCCTGGAGTACAGGAAAAAATAAAAAATAAAATACTTGGATCAAGTTTCACGAGCTAATTATAATTAGAAGTAGTCCACGAAGTAAAAAAGTGAGCTAGTAAGCTTAGAGTATTTTTACAGAATAAATCAATAAGGTGTGTGGTCAGTGGAATGTAACGGATTCACAACACTGGGCTCTCTCAAGCATGACACACTGGCAGGCGTACAGCTATTTTTAGGCCTATTGGAAAAAAACGGAACGCGGCAAATAAATAAAACACCCTGGGTAATAAGGCAAATCATTGATTTTCATGGCTAAGGGATGGACGTGCTAGGTTTGAGTGGGAAGCAAAAAGGCCAGTAGTACAAGCATCCTGAATCAAAGAGCCGAATCAACGGGACCTGGTGCTTATTGTTCATTGGCGTGAAAACAAAAAACTATTAACAAACCTTCGCCTTGGTTCCAGGCCTGGTTCTCCTGACAATTGTAGATCCTTCCGCCATCTTCATTTTGCCAGCGGTTTGTGTGTGGCTGCAGGAGGCTACCCCACGGCTGTTGTTGTTGCTACTGTTGTTTTCTGCTGGATGATTAAAAGACACAGCTGCAACCCTCGGCTGTAATATAGAATATTTTACTTGCGTCGTCGTAAATGTCGTGCTGCTGCGGATAAAGACGCTATCACTAATCACTGCGCTTCGGAGTGAGTATAGCTGGACAAATTTGAACGCCCACGCACTGTCGAGACGGTGGAAACGGGGGCTTGTTGTTGTTGTTGCTCTCTCTCTTCCGATGTGAGTTTTTTTAGCGGTTGAGCAATTTTTTTTTTTTGTAAAATCGTAAGTTCTTACGTGATATGTGCATGACTTTATTTAAAAAGTAGGATGCTCGTGTCACGATGTGTTTCAAGCACGCGAAACGATGAAGCTATCAGTTGTACTTTTTTATACGCGTAGCCGGCGTAGCTTAGTTGTTAGAGATTGGAGAGTGGACTTTAACAGTTAGTTGAGGTTAGGATAAGTTTAAATGGCTTATTGTGCGGTGCTGGTGTGTAGAGTTGGAAATAACAACGAATTTTTTTGAAAATTGTGATGAAAAGCATTTGTAAGGCGTGTATTGTTGTTGGTGCGGACTAAGTATTCAGAAAAATGGATCCAAGTGAGGTGGAGTTCCTGGGTGAAAAGAAACTCGTCAGTATTGTTCCAAATTTTAGCTTTGGTATCATTCACCTTATCTCTGGGTCCTTTGGACCTTTCAGAGCTGGTCTGCCCGTTAAAGTTCCTATCTGGCTTGCTTTGAATCTCAAGCAACAACAAAAATGTAGGATCATTGCTCAAGAGTGGATGGACACTGAATTGCTGGCTGAGGTCATTGAAAATGAAAAAGCTGAAAAGTTTGTATTTTTTTTTTTTTTTTTTTTTTTTTTTTTTACCATAAATACTTTACTACATTGTGGTGAACCTTTTTTTATTAAACATACTTTATTTTCAGACTTTTCACCAGAATGCCAAGCAACCACTTTATGGATGAAGCACAAATGCTCCTCAATGCTGCTGCCGATGATATTCCTGAAGCTGATAAGATTAGAACTGCTGTGAAGGTTTGTATTTGCTACTACCTATTAAAAAAAAAAAATTCTTTGCCATGGTAGTAACAATAAACAATGTTCCAATAGGACATTTGGGACTTGAGAATGTCCAAGCTACGCAGTTCTGTCATAAAATTTGTTGAAAGTGAGAGCATGTATGCTAAACTGGATCACCTGACTGCCATGGAAATAAATAGTATAAGATCTTTACTGCCAAACGCTCTGGATGTAATGCATCGTATGGAAGAAGCAACAAAACCACCAAAAACATCGACTCAGAGTCATGATACAACTATAGTCTAACGAAATAACGACCTGTAGATAATAATATAGTATGTAAGTGTAAAATTATTTTTGTATCTGTATAATTTAAAAGTAATTTATACTATGAGCTTTTGTAAAGAATTCTTTAGTATACAAGTCAAGAATATCAGAAAATTATTTTTGCGCTATACCATTTATTTTATAAACGGTACATGCAATAAAATAAATTACCAGAAAATATTGTACAATCTCTCTATTTGAATATCACGGTAATTTTGAAACATTCTCTTCCAAATTCACGTATCGTTCGATCCAAGGTACGAAAAAATAAACGTCGGTGTACAGCCCTGGTACCCTTGGCTCTGCGCACTTTCTGCCGCCTCCGGACACGAGGCCCGTCAAAAACCCATCACACATCAATCCAGCACCGGAGTCTCCCTGCAAAGTCGTTTTATCCGTGATGAACGCGTAACAACAAAGAATTAAATTTGTTTTTCTTTTACCGTGCAGGAATCCCTGAAACCCTCTAAATATCCAGCGCAGAATGTACCCTTGGCTAAAGTATAGTTTCCCCAGAGCTCTTGGCACAACCGATCCGACATCACGGGTAGATCGATGTACATGAAATAACTACTCAACGGCTCGACCTACAATAACATTATACGATTGCATAAAGGAAAAGCTTTAATCTCCCGCGTAAGACTTACTATTGTGGATCCCCATCCGCCAACTTGACACATTGTGTCGGCGTTAACGCGTCGTTGAATTATATAAGCCGGCTGAACGCGATCGTCGAAATCGAGTGGAGTTTCCAACTGCGAATAACATTTTGAAAGTCGTAAAAGTGTGTGCAACGAGTACACCAAATTTATCCCTCAAACCTTTAGAAGAGCAATGTCATTTTCCAAAGTGCGTTTCTGAAATTGCGGATGGACGATCAACTTTGTTACTTTGCTCCAGGCGTGGGCTCTGTTTGTGTTTTTCAAAACGATCTCTCCGGCGACTATCAGCATCGAGGATGCCTCAAGGGTATTGTTGTTCAAACTGCGAATAATAATTTCAACAATCAGTCGAATCTCGCACAATGAGACTTGTAATAATTATATTTACTCCAACATGCAGTGCCCGGCCGAGAGTACCCATTTGGACGTCAAAATAGTGCCGCTGCAAAAGTGATTCTGCGTGACGGCCCTTCGCAAGGAGACCTATTATTTTCGAGTTGTAACATACATAAGTGAGTGTATACGTTTTAACAAGCGTTGAAGTCATTTCTTGCCTGATGTGGAAACCGTCCCAAGGTCGCTCTCGTACCGTTAACTATGCGGCTGCTATACTCTAACAATCCCCTATTCGGTGACCGAGTACGGATATTTTCAGCTTGAATAAACAATCGTTTGTCGGTCTGTAGACTTACAATTGAATTGCTGTTATAAAGCGCTTACCTGTGACTAGACTGATGATACAAAATAAGCTTAGATACAATAACATATGGCTCCCCATGATTTATTTTTAATTTTTTTTTTTAGATCTTTTACTTTGGCACAGTTTTTTATTCACACAAGATTTAATAATTTGAGCCCATTTCTTTTATGCAACAAGATATAATAAAAAAAAAAATTTTTTCATAAAAAAAAAAAAAAAATTATTATTTTTGCAAAGTTACTTCCCGCACTGATACTTTGACTGTTCGATAGCATCTGAATAGTACAAGTGTGCAATGTAAAACGTCAAGTAGACTTTGTTTGCTGATGCTGTTATGAATATTGATTTAAGAAGATAAGCTTCGCAAAATGATAAGTCAACTACAAAAAAGAAAGATATTAGTGTACCGATGAAGCGTAGTCAATGAGGGAATCGCGGTATCTTTTTTTTTTTTTTCATCAATTTTGAAAAATCGGGATGAGCCGAAAACGAGGAATAATAATTACCATCAATGTTTTTATATTTGTATGTATATATATAATAACATCTCACTTTATTACTACATGTATCTTTGATCTTTTGCGTTAATTACATTACGTAAATACATTCACTAGCATCTCAATCACTTATCATCCAACTAAGACTCGGCAGTACAAGTAACTATGTATAACATATATATATATATTTACATGAATAAAATTACTTAAATGTCTAATAGTTTTTCTTTTCTTTTTCCTTCTTCACAATATTTACAATTTACACATGTATATATACATCACGGTGTATGAAAAATCCCGAGCTCCCTATGACTTCTTTGAAAGAAACGCTCTATAAAAGTATACAATTACATAAAAAAAAAAAAAAAAAAAACTCGTGTGATTTTGCAAAACAATAAATGCGTCGTACTCGTGCTAAAATCCATTGACAAACACTACGTGGTACTGCAACAACTGTGCACGGGGTAAAAAAAAAAAACTTTACTCAAACTTGCGTGAAACGTTGGGTATATACAATTATCACTGAAACTTGGTGCTGGCAGAGGTAAGATAAAAAAAAAAAAAAACAATGCGTCTTCTCTCGAATTCTGCACGGTATATCCCAAAGACGAACCAAGTATTGTCGAACAAGAGCATTTCTCGATCCGAAACGCGCGCAATCGCTGGTTCGCCCAATATCCAATAGAACCCCCCATTCGCGCGGTAATGTCCTCAAACTGCGACGATCTTACTGGGGTCAATCTTGACCCTGATGAACATCGTGTCGTCCTTGACAAAGTGTCGCTTCTTGATCATCTCGTGGGACACGAAGCGAGGAAAGCCAAAGCCCAGGGAGTCGGGCTCGCGACTGGGCCTCTGGAAGTTCTTCCAGGTTGGATCCGGGATGAAACTCTCGACGATGTTGCAGGCCTTGTCTGCCACGAGGGCCTGGTCGAGCAGCGTGAAGGAGACGCTGTGGGAGAACGGCCAGCGTAGCAGGGCGTCGTACTCACCCGGCAGGATCTTTATGTAGACGGAGATGTGGGTGCCCTCGCCGGTCCCGTTGCCGTTCAGGAAGAGCGACGCCTGAGACAAAAGCCAATTTATGGGTTAATGATTAGGTCGCGCCTAAAAATCGGTATACATAATATATTTATGTGGTGTGGTTTTCTCACCTGTAGCTTGTACCCGTACTGACTAGTGTAGAAGGTGGGACTGACGAGCTCGACGCCCTCCTTGGACTTGGCCTCGGCCATTTTGGCGGCAAAGTCGCCGATCTTCCAGATGAGGGTGCCCGAGTAGTTGAGCGACATCTTGCCGATCGCCGCCTTCAGGCTGCTGATTTGGTGCTGCTGCTTCGAGACGACGTTGCACATCAGACTCAGGTGGGCCTTGGTCGACTCCTCTGTGTGCTTGTCGAGGGAAAATCTGTTGCCCTGCGCAGAGAATCGACGGTTAGTATATATATTTGGGGAGAGAAAAAAAAAAAAAAAAATCGGTTGCACGAAAATAGAGCAGGTCGCACACCTTGAACCGGCAGCCGGCCTCTTTGAACGAGCAGGAGAGCAAGTGGGTGGTGCAGTGGTCTTTGAGGTGGACCTCGAGATCCTCCCTCGGTAGAACGGCCGTTTCGCAGCGGTGGGGGCAGGCGACCGGGAACCTGCCGCACTTGGCGTGATGGGCCGAGAGCGTGTCGAAGACAAACTCTTTGTTGCAGTAGCGACAGGCCATCAGGCGTTTCGCGCACTCGCCCGCCTTGTGTTGGCTCAGGTGGCGGCGTTGCACCTTCATGCCGCATTTGTTTTCGCAGTAGAGGGGCTCGTAGCCGCACGTGCCGATGTGCTTCTGAAAATCGGTATCACGCATGTTTTTCATTATTTTATTCCCCCGATCTATGACAACAGAGACCATACAAGACGCGCGTGTCAAATAAAATTAAAGGCTCACCTCGAGCGTGTAACCGGTGAATTCTTTGGCGCAAAACTCGCATCTGGCCCGCCTCTGGGCGCACGTGTACTTGAGATGGTCCTCCATGAGTACCCGGGGTATCATGGCCCCGCACTTGTTGGTGCACGGTATCGCGTCGTGTTTGCACGTGTTCAAGTGAGCCTGCGTGAAAAATCAAAGCGTTTTGTCAATACCGACGAGTCGTATGTTGTTTATATGTATACAAGTATACACAAGGAAATTGGGGGGGGGGGGGAAATGCATCCATACCTTAAGTTTTCTCAGCTCGTCCGACCACTTGCAGCCGTCCTTGTGGTGGATGCAGTAGACTATCGAGCTCATGATGGCCTTCTCTGCCTCCAGATCTTGGAAGGCCTGAAACAATTAAAAAATACAAAATCGGTTAAACAAAACTTTTTCGTTTTACAAACCATATGGAATTCACAATGGGCGTGGGCGTGCTAATCATCATATCATAGGAAGCTACATAGGGCATTTCAATGAGTACGAAAAAAAAAAAAACAAAAAAACAAAAGGGTCACTCGTTTGGGGAAAGGAAATCCAGTCCTTGCGATTTCTCATATCCGCTGTACCGATCCCTATATAATGAACATGGCACGGGCTATGTATACTTTGCTCAATTAGCGACGCTCGACATTCCCGTCTTTACTTTTCGGCTCTCGATATACCTATAAACTCACTTGGCAACAGAAGAAGGAGAAGAAAAAAAAAGCAGATCGCGTGGGCAGCCAAGAATCTTCGTAACTCGGGTATACATATGCTAATAACAAAGCAAAGCAGACCGAAGCAACGTTCGCACGGTCCGAAGACGATTTGGCGGTGGAGGGGGGGGGACGAAAAAATAAAAATTCAAAAATAAAAAAAAAGGAGGCAAGCGTAACATCGGCGCGTATGGAGAAATCACATGGCAGCGAGTACCTGTATATTATAAGTGCAGGTGTGTATGGTATGCGCTTAGAGAGAGATACACAGGAAATTTGGGCAGGAACGCGGGCGACGTTAATTGTTGGGCTCCCGGCGTTATTTCCTCCTCTCTCTCTCTCTCTCTCTCTCTCTCTCTGCTCGTCGAAAGGAGCGGCGGAATATAATATGCGCGACTGCCCGCGGGTACGGTGAACAGGTTTTTTTTTTCTTCTACGCTCGAATGAGAGGCACTCCGATTTTACGGGCCGCAAAGACGTCTCTTTTTTTTTTTTTTTTTTTTTTCTCCTTCTCCGTAATAAATACGCCGATTTTGTATGGACCTGCGGAGGTGTGAGCAAAGTGCATCGAGAGATCTCTCCCTTTATAAAACACAATTTAACGCAAAATCAATTCAGCACAGGATGGCGATGATTATTCATTTCCTCGGGTATAGATGTTTTCGCGTGACGGGAAAATGCCGTCCTTTCGCGGGTTTATTACAGTGGGCGCGTATAAATTTAACTCATCACCAGCAGTGGTGCACGCATCCGATTTTTCTTACGTATATAAATATACACACACACACGCGCGCGCGTTGGTTTCGGGGAATCCTAGAGACCCGCGGCGCGTTAATTAAACTTGATGCGCGGACGACATGGTCCAAGCTCTGCACCATACATACACATATATATATATATACACATACAAACGTCAGCTCGCCTTGTTTAGGGTACACGTATATTTTTAGGTAAAAATGGACAAGCACGTACGGTACACTTTGGCTCTTGGCTGGGGATCAAGAAGCTTTCAACCGCTAACGAACGAGCTTTTCGCGTGTTTCAGCTATATATGTTTTTTTTCCTTCCTTTGAAAATGTACGCGTGGCCAATGATTCGAGAGAGAGGCAGCACAGCCTGGGCGGGAGTCGTTTAGGAAGAAAGAAAAAAGGGAAAAGCCTCCTGGACGGCCGAGCGAAAAAAAAAAAAAAAAAGGAAAAGTCCGGGGACGTTTTTACAGCCCGGGAGGTCCCACTCGGAGGCTGCGACGGAAATATACACACACTCGCTCGCCGCCAATCTCAAAGCTCGACTATATAATACTATATAATATACACGGGCGAGAGATAAATGGACACGTTGCGCGCTGAGGAGGCAGTTTCCCCCGCGATCGGCAGAGTTTATTTTCTCGTTGCGGTATAATGGATGTACAGTCAGCGTGAGAAATGTGAAACAAGCATCACCGGCATTCCCTTATCGCCCGTCCAATCGAAACTCAAAGTGTTTATCGCGCCTTTCCCCGCGTCAAATGCGAGCGCGCTTTTCTCCGAGATGAGTATCGATAGCCGTGACTCAACTTCCCGAAGCTTTTCCCCCCCCCCCCCGATTTTCCGGGAAAATCAAAAAAAGCGGTTCGCATCAAACGAGAGAGTCGGTCCGAAAGTAAAAACCAGGGCGATGTATACTTATTTACGGACAAGAGAAATGTTTTTGCCCGCCGTCACCCCACGCGGAGAGTTTTCGGGTTGCGTGTTGACGCGCTATATATATATATATATTTTAAGCTATACGTGGGAGACGCGTCAAAGAAGCCGGCCACTTTTGCGGAATCTCGGACCTTTTAAGCTTAGGTACAACCTATAATGTATACGTATATTATGTATATATAGGTACGGCTTTGGAAGATACAACTTGTGACTCTCGAGACACGAAAATGTCCCCTACGAAGGCCGCATCCTCCCAGCAGCGATGATAGGTATTTACGAGCCTCTCCTGTACATACCGATGGGATAATTTAGTCGTAGAGGATTTTTTTTTTTTTTTTTCCTTCTTAATTTTCACTCCGATCGAGGATAGTTTACATACATACATGTCTCTTTTCTCGGTAAGTGAGTTTGGGTATGGTTTGGAATTTGTAAAAGTTGGCGCGTGACGTGGACTACATGAGTACCGATACGAGCACTGCTGGATCGTAAAGTGCGCCGACGTCCTCATTGCGTCCACATCGAAGAAGAGTTTAAATATCTTGATTGAGGGCCGTAAATTTTGTGGACCGGAAACCGATTTTTCCACAAGTAATTTACCTCGAGATGCCAGGAGACGGTGATTAAAAACATTCACGACAGGAAACAATCAAAGAGTTTATATGAAACAAAGCCCAATACTCTCCCGTACATGACACGTCATGTATATATATATGCGCATGGGATTTTGCAAATTACGTTGCTTAGAAAATGAGAGACAAGGAGAGGACAAAACTCTGCCTGTGTATAATAATAAACGTATACGACGCACGTGTGCATCTTCCCAGACCTGATGATATACGCACCTGTAGGGTAAAAAAATAGGAAAAAAAAAAATTTTACCCAAGAAGAAGAGCAGGCTCGGACTCGTCGGGACATGCGTCCAAGGTCGTGGAACCCGACAAACCCACATATACATAAGCGTATGGAGAAGAAGGAAAAAAAAAAAAGGAGAGTGGAGAAGAGGAAAGACTGGTATTACACGGGGTCCGGTTGTCCCGGGCGAGGTGCAGGTGGGTGGAGAGGGATAAGGAATATACATATACGCCTCCCGCTGCGACTGGCCGCGCTCGCACCGACCTGTCCGCTTGTTTTCGTTGTCCTTTTGCAACGACCGCTGCTTCCGTATATACGTATCTTTTTACGCAGCCGGACGGAGGGAAAAGGTTCGGGGGAGGCCCCCCCTCCTTATATTTTTGCGGGCGTTTTGAAGTTTCGGCAATATATATATATATATTGTACGGGCACGGGAACGGATCATGTATACAACGCTCGACTGACTTTCATTCATTCTTCCAAGGGAGAGAGGACGGGTGGGTAATTTGGTGGTTTTTTTTTTTTTGTTTCTTCGTGCAGGAATGGCACTTTAATCGATACGCAGGATGTTGTTCCCGAGTGGGAACCGGTTTTCCTTTTCCATTTGAGATTTGCGAAATCGATGCAGCCGATTTTTTCCAATGATTACACGTCTCTCATTGTTTTACGAGATGAAGAGAAAGAAAAGCCCTCTAATTTAGGTGACCGGGATGAAATGAGCGGCAAAAGTTTGTGTTTGGCTAAAAAGTACCGCAACACTCGGGTTTTCGGAGGAAATACACTCGTTTTTTATTTAGACCCCCATTACCCGTGACTCTCTGTACGGAATAATGATCGATACCTCCCACACTAGCCATACACGAGAGTTCAATCAAATCATTATTTTGTGTAGAAAGACACCCACGTAGGTACGTGCGCGAATTACACGCAATACCATACGTATATATAAATCCAAGAGGAAAAATAAACAATGACACCACTAGCTGCATAGTGAGTCCCTTGTGTGTGCACGTATACGCGCGGGTAATGTATAATATTATAATGTCGTACCTGTACCTCTAGGATGCTATTACACACGCGTGGGCACGTTCGGTTCAACTTTCTCGTAGGTATACACACAAGGCGACGAGAATAATACACCTATACTGGGCGTAATCGAAGTCTCGCGTATGACGTTATAAATATACACACCTATATACCGATACACATGGCGTAGAAGTATGGGTATTGCGACAAAACGACACACGTGATTTTGCGTGTGTGCCCCGCTTGTACGTAAGTATATATAATACGACGAATTATCTTTTGCAATCTCTCCAGTCTCCTCCTTGACATTACATGTACTCGTTGTGTATATGTTCGAGGAAGGAAGAAACGCAGGTCGTTTTTGTCGCCCAGCACTGTACTGTGTGTTGTTACGACAAATGACAAATGGTCCGGTTCGCACTGTGTATACATATATATATGTATGTACGTGTGTGTATGCGTACATCATACATAATATAATATACTCTTCCTTATTCGCAAACGTGTTCGAGATCCATCTCTGATTTCATAGAGTCGTTGTTTTCTCTCCTGCAGTAAGTATACCTTGCTTCCTGCGCTGCAGTTACATGTAATTTCGTACTTTGTACCTCCATTGCTCTTTCTGCCGTTTGTACAAAATGATAAAACCAGGTGTGTAATCTGTGTGTCCCTGTTTTTGAGACTATTGGAAAAAATCGAGTTGCAATTGTTAATGATGATAATACTAAGTAAGACTCGCACCTTTCGATAAATATTATCACGTATACTGCAACCGATTATATTTGATCGGTATACATTTTTATGTGTAAAAAACCTTTCTATTTCGTATATGTACTGATGCACTCGGATTCTCAAAGACTAGAACTACGACTAAATGAAAAAAATAAAATAAAAACCGGTTATTGAACAGTTGATCGTGAAAAGAAGGAGCCTCTTACCGATTCGCGGCTCTTCCGTTCAAAAACAGATGAACACATGCACATTAACGGACTGAATTTTTAGGCCCTCGCGGATACCCCTTTTTTCTCGTGCTTATCGCCCCCCACGCGTACTTAGGAATGAAAAAACGTGTTTGCGCGAGCAATTGATT